TCTATAGGCACCATTCTTCCAATAGCATTTGCTCTCTTCACGTCTCTGTGTCACATTTTGGTAATTCTCACAGTATTTCAAGCCTTTTCATTATTATTATATTTGTTATGGCGATCTGTGATCAGTGATCTTTGTTGTTACTATTGTAATTCTTTTGGGGCTCCACAAACCATGCCCATATAAGATGAGAACTTAATCTATAAATGTTGTGTATTCTGACTGCTCCACTGACCAGTCGTTTCCCCATCTCTTTCCTTCTCCTTAGACCTCCTATTCCTTGAGACACAACAATATTGAAATTAAGCCAGTTAATAATCCTACAATGGCCTCTAAGTGTTCAAGTGAAAGGAAGAGTTTCACGTCTCTCACTTTAAATCAAAAGCTATAAATGAGTAAGCTTAGTGAAGGAGGTATATGGTGAAAGCTGAGATAGACTGAAAGCTAGGCTTCTTGCATGAAACAGTTAGTCAAGCTGTGAATGCAAAGGAAAAGTTCTTGAAGGAAATTAAAGTACTACTCCAGTGAACACATGAATGATAAGAAAGTGAAACAGCCTTATTGCTGATATGCAGAAAGTTTTTGTGGTTTGGATAGAAGATCAAACCAGCCACAACATTCCCTTAAGACAAAACCTAATACAGAGAAAGGCCCTAACTCTCTTCAATTCTCTGAAGGCTGAGAGAGGTGAGGAAGCTGCAAAAGAAAAGTTTGAAGCTAGCAGAAGTTGGTTCATCAGGTTTAAAAAAGAAGCCATCTGCATAACATAAAGTACAAAGTGAAGCAGCAAGTGCTTATGTAGAAGCTGCAGCAAGTTATCCAGGAGATCTAGCTAAGATAATTAATGAAGGTGGCTACACTAAACAAGATTTTCAATGTAGATGAAACAGCCTTATATTGGAAGAAGATGCCATCTAGGACTTTCATAGCTGGAGAGGAGAAGTCTTCTACTTCTTCCTTTTTAGTCTGGATCTCTTTTATTTCTTTTTCTTGCCTATTTGTTCTGGCTAGGATTTCCAGTACTATATTGAACAAAAGTGGCAAGACTGGGTATCACTGTCTTGTTCTTGATCTTAGAGGAAAAGCTTTTAGCTTTTCATCATTGAGTATTGTGTTAGCTGTGGGATCGTCATATATGGCCTCTATTACGTTTAGATACATCCCAACCATACATAATTAGTTGAGTTTTTATCATGAAAGATGTTGAAAATGCAAATGTTTTCTCTGCATCTATTGGGATGATATGATTTTTATCCTTCAGTGTGTTAATGTGGGATATTACCTTTATTAATTTGTGCAGGTTGAACTATCCATGCATTCCAGAGATATCTCACTTGATCATGGTATATGATCCTTTTCATGTGCTGTTGTATTTAGTTTCCTAATATTTTGTTGAGGATTTTTGCATCTATGTTCATCAGTGATATTAGCCTGTCATTTTCTTTTCTTGTAGTGTCATTCTCTGAATTTGGTATGAGGGTATGCTGGTCTCACAAAACAAGTTTGTGAGTGTTCTCTCCTCTTCAATTTGGAAAGATGTTGAGAAGGATTGGGATTAACTCTTCGTTATTTATTTGGTAGAATAAACCAGTGAAGCCATCTGGTCCTGAGTTTTTCTTTGTTTGGAGATTATTGATTACTGATTAAATCTCCTTACACATTATTAGTCTGTTCAGATTTTGTATTTCTTTATGATTCAGTCTTGATAGGTTTTATGTTTCTTGGAGTTTATCCTTTTTTCCTCAGTTATCTGTTTTGTTGGCATATAATTATTCCTAGTAGTTTCTTGTGATCCTCTGTGTTTTTGCGGTATCAGTTGTAATGTATTCTCTTCCACTATGATTTTAAGTCTTCTCTCTTTTTTATTAGTGTAGCTAAAGATTTGTCAATTTGTATATCTTTTCAAAGAACTAACTCTTAGTTTTATTAATCTTTTGTATTGTCTTTCCAGTCTGTACCTTATTTATTTCTTTTCTGATCTATGTTATTTTCTTCCTTCTATTAATTTTGGGCTTAGTTTGTTCTTCTTTTCCTACTTTCTGGAGGTGTAAAGTCATATTATTCAATTGAGATCTCTCTTTTTTCTAATGTAGGCATTTATCACTATAAACTTCTCCCTTAGAGCTACTTTTTCTCCATCGCTTAAGTTTTTAATGTTATGTTTCTCTTTTTGGTTGTCACAAGATTTTTGTAATTTCCCTTTTAATTTCTTTTTTGATCCAGTGGGTATTCAGGAGCATGTTGTTTAATCCACATATTTGTGAATCTGTCAGTTTTCTTCCTGTTATTGATTTCTAGTTTCATACCATTGTAGTCAGATAAGGTTCTTGATAGATTTAAATATTCTTAGATTTATTAAGATTTGTTTTGTGGGCTAACATATGATCTATTCTGGAGAACATTCCACGTACACTTGAGAAAAATGTGTATTCTACTGCTGTTGGACGGATGGCATGTTCTGTATATGCCCATTAGGTCTACTTGGTCTAAAATATAGTTTAAGTCCAACATTTCCTTATTGACTTTTTGTCTGGATAATCTATCCTTGTTGAAAGTGAAATATTGAAGTCTCCTACTATTATTGTATTGCTGTGTTTCTCCATTCAGTTCTGTTAACATTTGCTTTATATATTTAGGTGCTCTGACATTGGGCGCATAAATATTTACAATTGTTACATCATCTTCATCTTTATGCACATAAAAAGCTCTAGATTTTTACTCTCCCTTCCCACATTTTATGTTTTTAATGTCATAATTTACATCTTTTATATTGTGTAACCATAACAAATCATTGCAGTTATACTTATTTTAATAGTTTTGTCTTTAACCTTTATAACAGTGGTGTTATTTACACACCACCATTACAGTATTAGAGTATTCTGAAATTGACTATATATAGTTACCTTTTTCATTGAGTTTTATACTTTCATATATTTTCATGTTTCCAATTAGCATATTTTTGTGTCAGCCTGAAGATTTTCTTTTAGCATTTATTGTAAATTGGGTCTAGTTTTGATGATCTCCTTCAGCTTTTGTTTGGCAAAATCTTTATCTCTCCTTCAATTCTGAAGGACAACTTTGCTGAATAAAGAAATCTTCGTTGGCAGTTTTTTTCTTTCAATGCTTTGAATGTATCATCCCATTCCCTCCTGGCCTGAGAGGTTTCTGCTGAAAAATCTGCTGATAGATTTATGGGTTCCGTTGCAGATAACAAGTCACTTTTCTCTCACTAATTTCAATATTCTCTTTTTCTTTAAGTTTTGAGAATTTAATTATAAAGTGTCTTGGTGTGGGTCTCTTTGTATTCATCTTGTTTGGTATTGTTTGGGTTCCCTGGATCTGAACATCTGTTTTTTTCAACAGGTTTGGGAATTTTTCAGCCATTATTACTTTGAGTAAGCTTTCCATCCCTTTCTCTCTCTCTTCCCCTTCTGGGACTCCCACATGCATATATTGTTTCACTTTATGGTATACTATAAGTCTTTTAAGCTATCTTTCCTCCTTTTCATTATTTTTTCTTTTTGCTCCTTTGCTTTCATGATTTCCATTGTCTTTGAGCTCACTGATCATTTCTTCTGCTTCATCTAGTCTGTTGAGTTCCTCTATTAAATTTTTCAGGTCAGTTATTTTATTCTTCAGCTTTATTATTTCTGTTTGGTATTCTTTTATATCTTCTATCTCTGTTGAAATTCTCACTTTGTTCATGCATTGCTCTCCTGATATCAGTGAACATATTTATCATTTTTATTTTGAATTCTCTGTTGAGTAAATGTTTGCTTAGGGTCAGTTTCTGAAATTTATCTTGTTCTTTGGTTCAGAATATATTTCCTTTTTCTTCAGTTTCCTTGACTGTCTATTTTTGTTTCTATGCATTAGATAAAACAGCCACGTCTCTCAGTCATGACAGACTAGCCTTGTGTAGGAGGTGAACCTTGCCAATCAGCCTGGCTCAACCTTCCAGTTGCTTCTCAAACCTTTGTGCTTGTCTAAACCACCACGTTTGTTTTTCTTTGTTCTTAGTGGATTCTAGGAGATTAGGGTGTGCCAAAACTAGTCAGTGCCCCAAATTCATTGGAAATGCCCACACATCCATTCATGTTCTTGGCTGACTATTAATTGTCTGCCCCTTTAGCTAATTAGGGCACATCTAGTGGTAATGCATTGAATGTCAGGAGCTCTCCTATTCTTTGTAGTTTGTTTTTGTGCTGGGGCACTCCTTCACACTTCCACAAAATTTTCTTACCACTTTGAAGATGGATTTTTCTTAAGTAGATATTCTCTTGGTTATTGTAAACATTTGATTGTTTCCCACTGCTCTGCTAAAGTTGGTTCTGACAGTTTCTGCTTATTTTTTTCAATGTTTCTGTCAGGGAGCAAGAGATTGGTGCCTCCTAGTCTACCATTTTTCTGACATCTGCCTTAAAGTGGTTGTTTGGAAGTTGCCACAGAACACTTAAGTTTATATTTTATTACAAAATACTTAGTCACTTGGCCACATCAGCTTGAGCACATATTCTACTTCTTACATATTTTTTTTACCATTAGAAATTTTCCAACTTTGTGATAGGCAGATCACAAAGCAGCCATATTGCCTATCTAATGATAGTTCCATTTTTTTTATTCCATCTTGTTATTACAAAAGATGATATGATTAATTAAAATTATATTCTCTAAGGAACTGATAATATAGCATCTAGTTTATGTTAGGAAAATTCACAATGTAGGGAAAAGCTTATATATTTTTGTTTCATGAGCAGGTAAAGGGAAATTATTAAGCGTTACCTAATTAATGTTTGTTTGGTGGAGTGAGTCACATAATAATATTTTAAATATACATATTAATTGATAGATTGATTGCAGTGAAATTATCATTAGGTTAAGAAAGGCTGCCCTACGTTTGAATTTCTTATTATCTTTTAACAACAGAACTATACAGTTGAAATACTTTAACTCTTAGACTATGTTCTAATGTGTCTAAACATTATAAATCTCTACTTACCTACCACTTTGTTTAAATCTAATTGAAATATTAGGTTGCTAATTGATGGATTCATTGCTGGAAGATTTTCTGAAGTATCTGGAAGTTCTGAAGCTGCTTCATTTTTAACTGGAATAACAATAGATCGCAGATTAGTTGACTTAAAACTAACATTTTCTTTAAGGTAAAATTATAGTACATAAAATTAATTAGAGATATTTTACCTTACAATTATTTAACCTTATTTACTTCACAATTTAACATACTGATTATTCAATTAAGTACAAATATGTCTAATAATTTTTAAAAGCTTACTAAATAGCTACTACATGCTAGATATTATACTAAGTACTTTTCAGATATTACCTCATTTAATCCTCACAAGAATTCTAGGAAGTAGGTATTTTATTCCCATTTAACAGATGAGGGAAGTAGAGTTTAGAGAGATTATGCATATTTTGGAAGGTCACATAGTTATTAACTGCAAAAGCTTGAAATAAATTTTGTTCCTTTAGACTCCAAAACCTATTCTCTAGCTAGTAAATTCAAGTGTCTACTGGGATTGAGCATGTAATATGAATGAAATGAACCTGGTGATGTTTGAAGCAGCATGAATAGCAGAAGTGAAGTGGAGTAAATATTTTATATAAGGCTATTACTCTCACTGACTGTTACAAATGCAGGCCTGATGTTCCTGGGTCATCTAAATTCTCAAAAGAAGCTAGAAGTGTAGATATTTACAAGGAATCCCAAGATTTTTAAATATTTGCAAGTAATCTAAAAGTTTTAAGCATATTTGTAAGACAAAACAAATCATCAGCTATTGCCACAAGAGAATTACCTAAATTTAGGAAAGGATTAATTCTACCACGTGGGTGTCATTTGAAAGCCAATTACTAGGTTATATTTCTTTGGAAAACATCATCATTTATTTACCAATATATCTCTCTATCATCCAGGAACAGGAAAATAAGATTTAAAATCTGGATAAAATTGGTATTTTCAAAAGAAAATAAAAATAAGCAACGTATGCCAGGAAAAAGTGGAAAGAATAATTAAAAATTAAAATTGGAAATTAAAGTAATAACCTTTCAAAAGTACCAGGCCCAGATATTTTCATGAGTGGAATTCTTTATAATTCCTCAAGGATTAAATCTTATGCCAGGGCCAGCCCCGTGGTTTAGCGGTTAAGTGCGTGTGCTCCGCTACTGGCAGCCCGGGTTCCGTCCTGGGCGCGCACCAATGCACCGCTTCTCCGGCCATGGTGAGGCCGCGTCCCACATACAGCAACTAGAAGGATGTGCAACTATGACATACAACTATCTACTGGGGCTTTGGGGAAAAAAAAAAGGAGGAGGATTGGCAATGGATATTAGCTCAGAGCCGGTCTTCCTCAGCAAAAAGAGAAGGATTACCATGGATGTTAGCTCAGGGCTGATCCTCCTCACACACACACAAAAAAAGTGTGGCAGTTAAAAAAAAAAATCTTATGCTATATCACATAAAAATGGAATTTTTCCATTTCTTTTATAAAATCAAAATAGTTATTATAAAGATATTGATATAGATATAATAGGCATAACTGACATAAAAAATACTGTAGATAGAAATATAATAATGCAAGTCACATATGTAATTAAAGGTAATAATAGCTCCATTAAAAATAAATGAAATGAGTAAAATCAATTTTAACAATGTTTTATTTAACCAAATATATACAAAATATCATTTCAACATGTAATCAAAATACAAAGAATGAGATATTTTATAATTATTTTCATAGGAGGTCTTCAAACTCAAGTGTGTGTTATAAACTTACAGCACATCTCAATTCAACTAGCTGCATTTCAAGTGCTCAATATCCATATGTGGCTAGGGGTGCCACATTACACAGTACAGCTTTAAAATATAAAGGCAAAAATCTTAGATAAAAAGTAAGGAAATAAAATTCAGTAGTTTATTAAAATAATAACATGGCATGACCTAGTAGATTCATTCCCAGAATACAAGGGAGGTCATCTATTAATATAGTTACCATATTAATGGTTCTAAAGAGAAATGATGTAGGATTATCTTAAGGTAAAAAGTCATTTAAAAAACTTGAACACACATTTTAAAATTTTCCCCAGTTTTAATGATATATAATTGACATAAACATGGTGTAAGTTTAAGGTTTACAATGTGATGATTTGATATACATATATATTGCAAAATGAATACCACAATACAGTTAACACATATATCACCTCACATAAATGTTAATTTTTTTTTGTAGTGAGAACATTTAATATCTATTCTGTTAGGAACTTTCAAGTATACAGTACAGTACTGTTAACTATAGTCCCCATGCCATATATTATATCCCCAGAATTTATTAATCTTGTAATCAGAAGTTTGTACTCTTTGTACCCTCTGACTAACATATCCCCATTTCCTCCCTCCTCAGGCCCCTGGCAACCACCATTCTACTCTATGTTTTCATGAATTTGGCACTTTTTATATTCCACATATAAGTGAGATCATAAGGTACCTGTTTTTCTCTATCTTACTTATTTCACTTAGCACAATGCCCTCAAGGTCCATCTATGTTGTCGCAAAGGGCAGCATTTCCTCCTTTTTTATGGCTGAATAATATTTCATTGTATATATGTATATATGTATATGTATATATGTATATATATCTGTTCATCTGTTGAAAGACACCTGGATTGTTTCTTGGCTATTGTAAATAATGCTGCAATGAACATGGGAGTGCAGATATCTCTTCGAGATCCTAATTTCTTTTCTTTCAGGTATATACCCAGAAGTGGGAATGCTGAATCATATGGTAGTTCTATTTTTAACTTTTTGAGGAACTTCCATACAATTTTCCATAGTGGCTGTATCAATTTACATTCCCACCAACAGTGGTCAAGGGTTTCCTTTTCTCCACATCCTCAGCAACACTTGTTTTCTCTTGTCTTTCTGATAATAACCATTTTAACAGGTATGAGATGATATCTCATTGTGGTTTTGATTTGCATTTGCTTGATGATCAGTGATGTTGAACATCTTTTTACGTACCTGCTGGCCATTTGTATGTTTTCTTTGGGAAAATGTCTATTCAGGTCCTCTGCCCATTTTTTTAATGGGATTATTAGTGTTTTTGCTATTGAGTTCTGAGTTCTTTATATATTTTGAATATTGACCTCTTATCTGATATATAGTTTGCAAATATTTTCTCCTATTCTATAGGTTGCCTTTTTATTATTATTATTTCTTTTGCTGTGCAGAAGCTTTTTGGTTTGACGTAGTTCTCGTTTATTTTTGCTTTTGTTGCCTGTGCTTTTAGTGTCATATCCAAAAAATTGCTGCCAAGGCCAATGTCAAGGAGCTTTTTCCCTGTTTTATTCTAGGAGATTTAGGTTTGAGGGTTTTACATTTAAGTCTTTAATCCATTTCAGTTGATTTTTGTGTATAGAGTAAGATAGGAGATCAACTTCATTCTTTTCATGTGGATATCCACTTTTCCCAAAGCCGTTTATTGAAGATACAATCCTTTTCCCATTGAGCATTCTTGGCTCCCTTCTGTAATATTAGTTGACCGTCTATGCATAGATTTATTTCTGGACTCTCAATTCTGATCCATTTGCCTATGTGCCTGTTTTTATGCCAGTACCATACAGTGTTGATCACAATAGTTTTGCAGTACATACTTTGAAACCTCAGAAAGTGTGATGCCTCCAGATTTGCTCTTCTTTCTCAAGATTGCTTTGGCTATTTGGGGTCTTTTTTGGTTCCACATGAATTTTAGGACAGTTTTTTCTATTCCTGTGAAAATGCCATGGGAATTTTGACAGTGACTGCATTAAATCTGTAGATGGCATTGGGTATTGTGGACACTTTAACAACATTAATTTTTCTTATCCATCAACACAGGATATCTTTCCATTTATCTGTGTCTTCTTCAATTTCTTTCACAAAAGTCTTACAGTTTTCAGAGGACAGGCATACCTTGGAGATATTGTGGGTTTGGTTCCAGACCACCACAATAAAGGGAATATCACAATAAAGTGAGTCACACAAATATTTTGGTTTCCCAGTGCATATAAAAGTTATGTTTACACTACAATGTAGTCTGCTAAGTGTGTAACATCATTATGTCTAAAGAAAACAATGTATACACCTTAATTAAAAAATACTTTATTGCCAAAAAATGCTAACCATTATCTCAGCCTTTAGCAAGTTACAATCTTTTTGCTGGTGGGGGACATTGCCTTGATGCTGATGGCTGCAGCCTGATCAGGGTGGTGGCTGCTGAAGGTTGGGGTGGTTGTGCCTATTTCTTAAAATAAGACAACAGTGAAGTTTGCTGTATCGACTGGCTTTTCCTTTCACAAACAATTTCTCCATAGCACGCAATGCTGTTTGATGGCATTTTACCCACAGTAGAACTTCGTTCAAACTTAGAGTCAATCCTCTCAAATCCTACTGCTGCTTTATCAACTCAGTTTATGTGATATTCTAAATCCTTTGTTGTCATTTCAAAAATCTTCACAGTGTCTTCACCAGGAGTAGATATCATCTCAAGAAACCACTTTGTTTGCTCATCCCTAAGAATCAACTCCTTATTCATTAAAATTTTATCATGAGATATCAGCAATTAAGTCACAACGTCAGGCTCCACTTCTAAGTTTAGTTCTCTTGCTATTTCCACCACGTCTTCAGTTACTTCCTCCACTGAAGTCTTGAAACCCTTTTTTGGGGGGGTTTTTGATTACTGATTTAATCTTCTTAGTCATTACTGGTCTATTCAGATTTTCTATTTCTTCATGATTCAGTCTTGGTAGGTTGTATGTTGCTAGGAATTTATCCGTTTCCTTTAGGTTATCCAATTAATTGGTGTCTAGCTGTTCACAGTAGTCTGTTATGATCCTTTGTATTTCTGTGGTGTCAGTTGTAATTCTGGAGAAAGGTAGTCTTGTGCATGCAGTCTTTCAGCCCTTACTTGGCCACATAAGAATGAGCTTTGGGCTTGGAACACTTCTTACCAATAGACAAAGAGCCCACATAGACTGTGTCAAGCTTATTAACTCATATGGGAATATCTTTCCTTGTTTCAAGCTCAATGAATGCTCTCTTGTCTGTTT